TTTACATACATAGAATGCGCAGAAATGAATTCGTTTTTTAGCATTCCCTCTTAAGTTAATATTTACTTATTCAAAAATTGATTCACGTTTTTTAATTTCACCTTCTGTAATGGCCTTGAGCCATATGATGGCATCCGCGATCGTACATGATTTTTTTATGATTCAGTGAAAGGTGATGTGAATTTTTTCATTATATACCGAATCAGTAGGTAGGAGTCTAAATACCGAGTCACCGCAACTGCTATGAGCTAAGAGATACCTTGTTAATCTAATTTTTGAACTCCCTAAGGTTAATACAAATGGGGAAAGCCTCTTCAGGCAGATTGCTCTACAACTTCGGCACCCTAGGAAAAAAAGAGCAGTTGTACCTACCAGTACTGAAAGTAAGAAACGGTTTGGATGGCCCATCACGCGAAGGAATCATGGAGGAGAGCTCTCTCCATCACCTTACTTATTACAGAAGACAGAGCTATATGTCTATCGTTGTGGTCGGTATTAAATCCTTTTTGGGGCGGGCTGGACATGAGCGAATTACAATTTTTCTGGAAAATACCGGATTCGGAAGATATCTGGAAGAGACGTGAAAGAACTGAAGCAAGCTCCGATGCACATATAACAGTAATCAAGTCCCGACCAGAAGCTTTCTTGTGCGACAAGAGCCACCCCTCTTACGGTCTTATAATAATGATGATCCGGCTTTATTTATACAAAGTATAAAAAGGCGAAGTGTCGCTAAAAAGCGTTTTTCAACTTAACCCAACCAATAAGTAACAACCTTTATTTTAGAAAGTCCTAACTTTTACAACAACAAGCAACAATTGGTGGCTCACAGCACCTCAAAATAAATTAACCTAAATCTAATTATTTATTCATATTAAATTCAAGCATTGACACCTCTCATATGCATAACAAGCTCTCTTGAAATGCCGTACAGTCTCTGCATGTTTTATTTGACTTGGTAACTTATTATACGAGGAGGTACCCAAAAATAACCGGAATAGCATTGCAGTGGGCGGAGCTTATGTAGTACATCCCTAGAGGCGTACAGCGCAACTAATTCAGTGCCTCCTGAGTTGTCGATCTGCTAAAGCTGTTTCGTGCTTGTTTCGTTTTTTACGAAGGCAAGCTTCAGTGAGCAACGTGCAGCTGTGAAATTTTGTTTTATAATTGGTAAAAATGCTGCTGAAACTGTTTTAATGTTGGAAATGGCTTACGAAGATGATGCTATGCGAAAAACTCAGACAGGAGCTGGGATAAGTGTACTAATTGTAGTGGACAGTATTTTGAACGAGATAAGGTTACTTTGGTTACTTTAGCACCCCAAACCATAACTCCAACAGTGTGATGAACATGTCTTTCAAACAAAAAACTGTGGATTCCTCCTTTCACCACGTCGCCTTCTAACCCTGGCACGACCATCGTGCATGCCTAAACAAAATCGAGACTCGTCACTAAAGACAATACTGTTCCATTCCTGATCCCAGAGTGACCGTTGTCTGCACCACTCAAGGCGATTACGTCGGTGTTCTCGAGTTAAAGGGAGGACCCAGTGTGGCCGGTATGAAAACAAGCCAAAACTTCTCATTCGTCGGTAAACACTTCGCATGCCAATAGGTCTTCCGTGTTCTGCAAACCATTCATTTGCAATGGACCTGGTAGTGGAGAAACGGTCCCTTAAGGCCAATAATCTTAGGCGGCGATCTTCACGGTCTGTTGTTCTACGGCGGCGTCCAGTGCCCCTTGCTCTTTGCGTACGGCCTTCTCGAAGCCATGCCTGACAACACCTAACCACAGTGTCTACACTTCTTTGCACTCTAACTGCAATTGCCCGAAAAGAAAGTCCAGCTTCCCGAAGTCCCACTATACGGCCTCTATCAAACTCACTAAGTTGACGAAATCGTACAGGTCTCCGTACTCTAGGCATCGTAACCGATCGTAAAGGATGTCAAGAACCACAATCCGCCAACGTTGATTCTTTACTGCGGCTGAAATATTCATTTTTAGAGCGTTAGTGAATTAAAAAAAAGCAGTATAAAAACTGCAATGTCCAACTGATAAGGCTGAAAATTTTTTCACTTGTTATTTACAGTAAGATAAATACATTCACCAACTTTTATTAAAATAAAACCATTTAAACTGGGTGTTCGGATTTATATACTTATACACATGCAGACCATTACACATAATCATCCAGATGCGATCTTACTACTCGACCAAGTTTCTTTCTTTCACATCTTCTCAGAGATAAACACTACTTGGCTTTCTGCAACCAACAATGCATGCTTGAGCGTGTCGTATCGTTGAGTCGTTCCTCCATATCTGAACACAAAAAACTACTTAGTCTGCAAGATGACATTTTGTCGGTTTTTTTACATAATACCCCTGCGGGTTTTTGGAATTGCAAACGGCTTCACCTCATCCTTGTACATTGGCCACCCTGTATAATCGATTATTAGAGCAATCCCCTTCTGAACAGCATTAAGTATGGACAGTGTCTTGTGCAGAGTGAGGACGTTTTAAGAAAACGCTTCCCAAGTTATATTTAACACTGTATAATATTTCCCTGTATGCATGATGCAGAGTAAAGCTTTCGTCCACAACAGGTTGACATGAAAATTGAGTGCCATTCTGATCAGCCAAATAGATACCTGGAATACAAATGGGAAGGTAGAAATGTGGAAGGTGCAATTCAAATTTTATTTGAGGGTTTGGATGTCGCAGGTCGCAGGCGCTAGCTAAAACCCTGTCAGCTGCGCAGCGACTCTACCGCAGATCAATAGGAATTTACTCCTCCCGTGACAGGGTTGGATTTCGCTTACACACGGGTGCTAACGGACCCAAGCATGAATTTAAGTGAGAAAAGTGAGCTAATTTTTGAGAAATTAAATAACATTACGCCAAATTTAAACGGATACTATAAATAAGAATGTGTGAAATAAAACAAGATTGACTCTTATAGGATCTTTGCTACTGTTACTACGAGGGATGTCTTTTAAGTTTTGCGTATCGAACGTCAGTACTGAATCTTAACCTCACTCTTTAGTAAACTTAAATTCAAAGATTCACAACAATACGTTCAGTGTTCTCACTACAGTGAATTTTTAAGTATCACCAAGTCATTAGAAAAATGGAACTCAACAGCCTTATCAGTTGGACATTCCGGTTTTTATACTGCTTTTTTTTAATTCACTAACGCTCTAAAAATGAATATTTTAGCCGCAGTAAAGAATCAACGTTGGCGGATTTTGGTTCTTGATATCCTTTACGATCGGTTACCATGCCTAGAGTACGGAGACCTGTACGATTTCGTCAACTTTTCGGGCAATTGCAGTTAGAGTGCAAAGAAGTGTAGACACTGTGGTTAGGTGTGGTCAGGCATGGCTTCGAGAAGGCCGTACGCAAAGAGCAAGGGGCACTGGACGCCGCCGTAGAACAACAGACCGTGAAGATCGCCGCCTAAGATTTGGCCTTAAGGGACCGTTTCTCCACTACCAGGTCCATTGCAAATGAATGGTTTGCAGAACACGGAAGACCTATTGGCATGCGAAGTGTTTACCGACGAATTAGAAGTTTTGGCTTGTTTTCATACCGGCCACACTGGGTCCTCCCTTTAACTCGAGAACACCGACGTATTCGCCTTGAGTGGTGCAGACAATGGTCACTCTGGGATCAGGAATGGAACAGTATTGTCTTTAGTGACGAGTCTCGATTTTGTTTAGGCATGCACGATGGTCGTGCCAGGGTTAGAAGGCGACGTGGTGAAAGGAGGAATCCACAGTTTTTTGTTGAAAGACATGTTCATCACATTGTTGGAGTTATGGTTTGGGGTGCTATAGCTTATGGTTCCAGATCACCTTTAATCTTCATCAGAGGGAACATGAACGCGCAGCGTTATATCCACGAAGTTCTCGAACCCCATCTTTTACTGGCAGATCCAACTTTCCAACAAGATAATGCCCGACCACATCTTGCAAGAGTCACAATAGACTTCTTTCAACATAATGATGTCACATTGTTACCATGGCCACCAAGATCTCCCGACTTATCCCCAATTGAGCACGTGTGGGATATGATGGGTAGGAGATTGCTCAATTTGCAACGTCCTCCTCAGACTCTAGAAGCACTTCGAGAGGAGTTGGTGGTTGCCTGGAATGATATACCACAGGAGGACATTGACCACCTGATCAGAAGCATGCCTAGGCGCGTTGGAGAATGCGTAGCACATCAGGGTGCATCCACACATTATTAAAGGTCAAGGGGCTTTAAAGCAGTGCAATCATTTTGAAATTTTTATCATTTACTTATTATGCTTCATTAAGTACTCATACAAAATTTTATTAAAATAAAACCATTTAAACTGGGTGTTCGGATTTATATGTCACTTAGTACATATGCAGCCATATAGAGAGGCATTAATTAACCTAAAGATCCTTACTCTTCCATCTCTATATGTATATATTTATCTGCCTATGTTATGTACACAACAATTTGGATCTATACAAAATGCACAGTGATGTACCTAGTTACGATACCCGAAGGATGCATAAGTTAGATATTCCTAAATGTCGTCTACAATGAAGTAGAAACTACTATGAAATCCACTTTTATAATGTTCTTCCTGAGGCACACTTTTTATACCATCAAACAGTTTTTTATTTCATATCATTTTAAATTCATAATATCATTTTACAGTTTTTCTGTTAATGTTGTTTTTTACAGTTTTCTGTTAATGTTGTTCTTTCCAACAAATTTTATTGTTTTGTGAACTTACACTTTTGTATCTTGGCTTCTACTTTGACCTGTGTAAGCACCCAAGTATCTTAAGCACCAATAAAGAAATGAACATGTTGGGAATATGATGCTAGAACGTTACTTTGCTGAGTCGAAAACCATACCACCTGTCGCTAATAAAGCGGTGATATTTTAAAAGGCTCCTATTACCATTTGGGAGATTTAGTCTGAATCCGACTCTGTTTAGTTCACCTTTAGCTGCTGAAACTCGCAGGCAGAATAACGAGAGGGAGTAAAGCAAGGAGTAGGGAGCGCTAGTGACTATTCCTGCTCCCTGGCAGTTCCGAGAGTGCTCCTACTCAGAATCTGAGCATTTCGCTCCGACGATATCGCCGCTGACGGACGCCGACTAGATATGTGTGTTTGCAAGTGACATTCAAAGCTCAAACTGATGTATCATTGGCGATTTCAGTTTTGTGGTGAATTAAATTTCACCTAATGTTGTGTTTACTTGCCGTGTAACGCATACATATTTGTTTACAAGTGATGTTGCAATGAGAGAACACACCCTTTTTGCACTTTTTATTCACATAACTCACTTCTCATTGTAAGTCCCATATACATATATTTTTGATGTGGAAAGTTTATTTGCATTTTTTTCGAATGCTTTTCATAAGCATGCAGCTGTTCCAAGTTTAGTTGAAATTAAGTAGAGAAGCCATGCCTGATCTGTAATAGCCAGACTGCCTCAAATTAGTTTTCTGTGTATTTAATTCAAAGTTATCGTTGTATGCTCCAATTTACTTTAAACGTTGATACAAATTGGTCAAAATCACAAAATATCAACAATTCAAAAATTCTTGCTATATGGACGATATGATCAATGAAAATGCCCCAAATATGGACTGAATCCTGAACTAGATATGAGTTATTTCAATTATATACACAAAAAGCTTAACTCAGCACAAAATCTGTGAGCTCTAAAGCTAGACAAGATAGGCTTTGATATCCGTTTAGAGCTTTACATCAAAATTCAACTTGAAAGCTTTAGGTTCCTGTCACAATAGTCTTCAAGTTTATATTTCGATATTTGATAAAGATATTTGTAAAAATGTCTCGAGCTTCCAAAATCTTTAGAGTTTTCGTAGTTTGTTTTTTGGACCAATTTTTCTTAATTTTAGACTCCATGCCAAAAGATCTCTGATCGGAAACTGACAAACACAAGTGTCATATATTTTTTGGGCGTTACAATTCTGTTGCAGCATGCTGTAGAACTAGCGATTAAAAGAAACACTGACTGACAAATACCTACTTGTCGAACACCATCTTTAGACGCCAGCGTTGCCACTTCTTGGAGACTGTTTCAAATTAGGTTTCTGTGTATTTAATTCAACGTTACCATTATATACTCCAATTTAATTTAAAACTTAATACAAATTGGTAAAAATCACACAATATCTACAATTCGAAAATTCTTGCTATAGAGACGATATGATCAATGAAAATGCCCCAAATATGGACTGAATCCTGAACTAGATATGAGTTATTTCACCTATATACACAAAAAGCTTGACTCAGCACAAAATCTGTGTGCTCTAAACCTGGACAAGATAGGCTTTGATATTCGTTTAGAGCTTTACATCAAAATTCAACTTGGAAGCTTTAGGTTCCTGTCACAATAGTCTTCAAGTTTACATTTCGATATTTGATAAAGATATTTGTAAAAATGTCTCGAGCTTCCAAAATCTTTAGAGTTTCCGTAGTTTGTTTTTTGGGCCAATTTTTCTTAATTTTAGACTCCATGCCAAAAGATCTCTGATCGGAAACTGACAAACACAAGTGTCATATATTTTTTGGGCGTTACAATTCTGTTGCAGCATGCTGTAGAACTAGCGATTAAAAGAAACACTGACTGACAAATACCTACTTGTCGAACACCATCTTTAGACGCCAGCGTTGCCACTTCTTGGAGACTGTTTCAAATTAGGTTTCTGTGTATTTAATTCAACGTTACCATTGTATACTCCAATTTAATTTAAAACTTAATACAAATTGGTAAAAATCACACAATATCTACAATTCGAAAATTCTTGCTATAGGGACGATATGATCAATGAAAATGCCTCAAATATGGAATGAATCCTGAACTAGATATGAGTTATTTCAACTATATACACAAAAAGCTTGACTCAGCACAAACTCTGTGAGCTCTAAAGCTAGACAAGATAGGCTTTGATATCCGTTTAGAGCTTTACATCAAAATTCAACTTGAAAGCTTTAGGTTCCTGTCACAATAGTATTCAAGTTTATATTTCGATATTTGAAAAATAGTAGCCTCTAAGAACTGATAAAGATATTTGTAAAAATGTCTCGAGCCTTCGGAATCTTTAGAGGTTTCCGTAGTTTGTTTTTTGGACCAATCGTTCTTAATTTTAGACTATATGCCAAAAGATCTCTGATCGGAAACTGACAAACACAAGTGTCATATATTTTTTGGGCGTTACAATTCTGTTGCAGCATGCTGTAGAACTAGCGATTAAAAGAAACACTGACTGACAAATACCTACTTGTCGAACACCATCTTTAGACGCCAGCGTTGCCACTTCTTGGAGACTGTTTCAAATTTGGTTTCTGTGTATTTAATTCAACGTTACCATTATATACTCCAATTTAATTTAAAACTTAATACAAATTGGTAAAAATCACACAATATCTACAATTCGAAAATTCTTGCTATAGGGACGATATGATCAATGAAAATGCCCCAAATATGGACTGAATCCTGAACTAGATATGAGTTATTTCAACTATATACACAAAAAGCTTGACTCAGCACAAAATCTGTGTGCTCTAAAGCTAGACAAGATAGGCTTTGATATCCGTTTAGAGCTTTACATCAAAATTCAACTTGGAAGCTTTAGGTTCCTGTCACAATAGTCTTCAAGTTTATATTTCGATATTTGAAAAATAGTAGCCTCTAAGAACTGATAAAGATATTTGTAAAAATGTCTCGAGCCTTCGGAATCTTTAGAGGTTTCCGTAGTTTTTTTTTGGACCATCGTTCTTAATTTTAGACTATATGCCAAAAGATCTCTGATCGGAAACTGACAAACACAAGTGTCATATATTTTTTGGGCGTTACAATTCTGTTGCAGCATGCTGTAGAACTAGCGATTAAAAGAAACACTGACTGACAAATACCTACTTGTCGAACACCATCTTTAGACGCCAGCGTTGCCACTTCTTGGAGACTGTTTCAAATTTGGTTTCTGTGTATTTAATTCAACGTTACCATTATATACTCCAATTTAATTTAAAACTTAATACAAATTGGTAAAAATCACACAATATCTACAATTCAAAAATTCTTGCTATAGAGACGATATGATCAATGAAAATGCCTCAAATATGGAATGAATCCTGAACTAGATATGAGTTATTTCAACTATATACACAAAAAGCTTGACAAAATCTGTGTGCACTAAACCTGGGCAAGATAGGCTTTGATATTCGTTTATAGCTTTACATCAAAATTCAACTTGGAAGCTTTAGGTTCCTGTCACAATAGCCTTCAAGTTTATATTTCGATATTTGAAAAATAGTAGCCTCTAAGAACTGATAAAGATATTTGTAAAAATGTCTCGAGCCTTCGGAATCTTTAGAGGTTTCCGTAGTTTGTTTTTTGGACTAATCGTTCTTAATTTTAGACTATGTGCCAAAAGATCTCTGATCGGAAACTGACAAATACAAGTGTCATATATTTTTTGGGCGTTACAATTCTGTTGCAGCATGCTGTAGAACTAGCGATTAAAAGAAACACTGACTGACAAATACCTACTTGTCGAACACCATCTTTAGACACCAGCGTTGCCACTTCTTGCCACACTGTCTCAAATTAGTTTTCTGTGTTTTTAATTCAACGTTACAATTATATACTCCAATTTAATTTAAAAGTTAATACAAATTGGTAAAAATAGCTCAATATCAACAATTCAGTTTGATCAATAACAATGTCTCAAATATGGACTGAATCCTGAATTAGATATAAGTTATTTCAACTATATGATGCACTAAGTCGGCACAAAATCTGAGCCTCAAAGCTGGACGTTTAGAGCTTTAAGTCAAAATTGAACTTGTAAGCTTAAGGTTTCAGCCACAATAGTCTTCAAGTTTATATTTCAATATTTTAAAATAGTAGCCTTTAAAAACTGATAAAGGTATTTGAAAAAATATCTCGAACTTTCGAAATCTTTAAAGTTTTCGTAGTTTATTTTTGTGGACCAATCTTTCTTGATTTTAGACTCCATACCAAAAGATCACTGAACGGAAACTGGCAAATACAAGTGTCAAGTATATTTTTGGGGTTGTGGTTAGCATGCTCTAGAACTAGCTATAAGTAGAAACATTCACTAATATATTCCACCAGAAGGTACTCAATCTAATTGGAAGCATGTACATATTTATGATCACATCTATATACGTGTCGACCACAATCTTTGGTCGCCAGCGTTGCCACTTCTAGCCCTGTAGCTGCAGGTTATGGGATCTTGTCCGTCATTGAGTATTGGAATTACTCTTTACTGACGTTTCGGCCACCACGGTGGGCTTTTTCAAAGTACAGAACAATGGCTATGACAGTATATTTTATATTTAGATAAATGTCATTGTCATTAATCTATACTTAGAAGAATGCCACCCTACATTGAGAAAACGTGACCAGTTGAACAGCTGTTATGCAAAATTATTATTATATTATTAATTATTCCAAGTAACCAAATTATTCGGTTTAATCAATATTTCATAACTACATAGCGATTCAAACACTTGCAGGATGTTTCACTTGACAAATTTGGGAAAGCGCTCATCGTGCGTTCTTGACCATCCTGTATAAACTATAAAAAAAAACAGAAAAAGTACGTGGATAGGGAGAAGATATGGAGTCATGGAATTCTTCTAAAGAAATATTCAGTACTCTAGCTATAACAGTTGTGAAGGTGCAAGTTGTCAAAGTTGACTGTTTCTTTTTTCAATAGATTGTTCAATATCTCAACAGTTCAAAAATAATGTTATATCAAGTTGCATCGTTTACCTATGCAAATCTGCTATAAAATATAGCCCTTTCCATTTGGGTTTGGATTCTCAAGTAGATATGAATCACCATGTAGAAATGAACATATTTTTACAATTTTTGTAATAACTTTTTTAGATATGAGTAATATCTGCACTAAAAACTCATCCTGTATGTATGTTGCTTTATTCAGAGAAACATGAAGTTTCACCAGAATGAAAAGCACAGGATAAATTTCAGATAAATTCTGCGAATGCAAAATTCCAGGAGTAATTACGAGGCGGGTTGAGTGATGATTTTTTCTCGGAATTTACGAATAAATAACAAAAGAAAAATGAAATATGTTTTTATTGCTGCTGAACGAATTACTGCGAGCCTACTAAATTGTATATGAACGTCCAAATAACAGCAAACAACTGTTTTATGGAAAAAAATAGATGATTATGGATTCAGTCCTTCATGTCACATCGTAAAATTTTTGTTAAAATGGGCCACATTATAAAAATATCCCTCAAGGTGGAGTGTTATCACCGTTTTTA